TTTTATATATATATATATGTGTGTGTGTATAATATTTTTTAATACAACTTGCATGAGCCAATTATCGCTGTATTGTATTCACTGTTGTACAGCATAATCCAAGGAAAGTCAAATTAAGTGTGTGAGCTTCTAAATATGTACCCATGTGATATAAAGCATGTTATGCACCTCGAAGTAGTAAATGGGCACTTAGTGTTTGCTTGTTATCCAAACCCAATCACTAAAATCTCATATAACCTTTAACATGTTAATGTACTTTTCAGTCTTTTTAAATCTACATCTTTCATTAAATATTACCTGATAAACCTGCCATGAATATTCTTGTTCAGGCACTCCCCGTTACAGGGTGACAATGTTCTGTCCCTGCCTCCCAATTGCTCTCCTATGTTATTACTCTAACACATGTGTTTCCGGTGGAGACTAGTGAAGAGCCTGGGCTTGATGTGAACCTTGTTTGCCTGAGTTCACTCAAGCCTAACTTAAAAATGTGACTGCAACCCCACTTCCCGGCCCAATCATTTGTAAAGAGGCACATTCCCTGCTTCGCAGCCATATGTCACATGGGCAAAGACTGCTCCCATTGCAGCTGTCACCGCTGATTGGGCTGGGAAGGGGGAGTGGCGGTCACACTTTGGTGCGGGCCAGGGGTGATCTCTTGAGTAAACTATAAGCTGATGTTCATTGTGAAGGCATGATCTGCCATCAATGCCAACAGGAAACCCACCATGAGCAATGTCGTGCAGCTGCCACAAGTGCAAGTAGGCGAGAAATAACTAAAAGAAGCTACAGGAGATCAGCAGCACTGAAAAGCAAAAAAAAATGATTATAGAGTTGCACTAATTTGTCTCCTATATCTGCCTAGAATTCAGATTTTACTATCCCCTTTCTCCCTGTAGATTTCTTTGATAGGAAGACAACTGTGGTTTCCCATTCTGGCTCTATTTTTAAGGCTGACATTCAAGAAAAATTGGTGGAGAGGTAAGAGTTGTTTTTTGATATATCAGTGCCAATAATGCTATTCAAAAAAATGTAATACACTGAAACAAATCTATGCCGTAATACCAAGGTCTAACTTAGAATGCTCCAAATTACCAAACTGATCAGTGTCACTGAATGGAATGGAAAAATGGGCTAAATGGTAATGCAGCATGTATCATGCGGTGCAGGCCAACAGGAATATGTATAAACCATCTTGTCTGGAATAAAGATGGTTTCTTAAGTTGTTGTAGGTCATTATTGAATACCCTTGCTACTCAAAGCATTATTATAGATCTTGCAGGCTGAGGTTCTTAGCTCTGAGTTGCAGTGAATAACATGCAACATTAAGTCTCTGTGAGTCTCTTGTGTGTCTGCATTTTTAGCATGTTTCTAACTTGCTGTCTGGAGCAATTTTTCCTTGCGCGCACGCATGATAAAATCTGAACTTTTGGCTAGAGAAAAGCTTAAAACCCCAAACAAGTATATATTTTCTGAAAGCAGAAGCCTTATAGAATTATATAAAATGCTAGTTGCAATTTTTATGTCGCACGGTATTCGTGCAAATGTTTATCGAAACAGTATTTTTACCAAAAATACACTAAAATGAAATTTAGTGCACAGAAACAGAATATAATACCCATTTTTTTTAAAATATAAAAGTTGGGGTCAAGTTTTGGTAAATGGATACCAAACATGTCAAGCTTTAAAGTTGCGTGCTCCCCTGAAATCGCAAAAAAAATGACAATAGTCAAAATTTCCCATAGGCGACGCTTGGAAGCTTTTACCGCTCATCAATTTAGTGTTATTTGTGATTGATGGCCCTAAAATTATTATAGGTAACATGCAGCACAATTGCTGTTTTCACACGTAGGCCCACCCAACACGTGTTTGTATGAGGGGCGGGGGACCATAAAAAAAAATTGGGGGGCTTTTTTAAAATAATTTGTAAGATTTATTTATTTTACACTTAACTTTATTGCTATCCCATACGGAGATAACAAGCCTCCTATGTTATAGAAAGAGGATGTGGCAGGTCCTCTTTATGGAGACAACAGGGGTCTATTAGACACCTAATGTCACTTAGGGACCACAAAGAAGCTGATGAATCTGTGATCTGCTTGACCAGCTTCTTCTGTGGCTACAGCAGCCAGAGAAATGACAGCTTGAATTCAAATGTGATGTAATGCACATTGCTTGCACGTTCAGTGATTGGAGGGGAGATCAGAATCTGGGAGTGTGCTGATCTTCTCTGATCGAAGAGAACAGACCCGCCGTGCTGGTCCCAGGCCTGCACAGTGGACATCAGATCCCGGGTAGCCGTCGGCTAAAAATTAGCGAACAATTTCAGAATAATGTTCCTCAATGTAAAATTGCAAAGAATATATCATCAGCTACAGCACATAATATCAAAAAATTCCAAGAATCTGTAGAAATCTCTGTGCGCAAGGTACAAGGATGATGCGCAGTATTGGATGCCCATGATCTTCAGGCCCTCAGACGGCACTGCATTAAAAACAGGCATGATTCTGTGATGGATATCAATGCATGGGCTCAGGAATACTTCCAAAAATCACCGTCTGTAAACACAGGTCGCCGTGCCATCCAAAAATGCAAGTTAAAGCTCTATCATGCAAAGAAGAAGCCATATCTCCACATGATCCAGATATGCCAATGTCTTTTTGACCCAAACTTCTTTTTTTAAATGGCCTGTTGCAAAGTGGAAAACTGTTCTGTGGTCAGACAAATCAAAATTTGACATTCTTTTTGGCAACCATGGGCACCGTGTCCTCCAGACTAAAGAGGAAAGGGAGCTTCTGGCTTATCAGTCCTCAGTTCAAAAGCCTCCATCTCTGATGGTATGGGGGTGCATTAGTGTGTATGGAATTTGCAGCTTGCATATCTGGAAAATCACCTTCAATGCTGAAAGATATATCCAAGCTTTAGAGCAGCGTATCCAGACGTCTTTTTCAGGGAAGGCCTTGTATATTTCAGCAGAATAATACTAAACCGCATACTGCATCTATGACAACAGCATGGCTTCGTGGAAGAAGAGTCCAGGTGTTTAACTGGCTTGCCTGCAGTCCAGACCTTTCACCATTTGAAAATATTTGGCACATCTTGAAACGAAAAATACGACAAAGAAGACCCAGGACTGTTGAGCAGGTAGAATCCTATATCAGGCAGGAGTGGGACAACGTTCTTCTCCCAAAACTCCAGCAACTGGTCTCCTCAGTTCCCAGACGGTTACAGAGTGTTGTTAAAAGAAGAGGGAACGCTACACCCTGATAAACATGGCCCTGTCCAAACTTGATGTTACTGTTGAACTCATTGGACAGGTTGTGTCTTTTTTCAACTTGACTAACTATATAACTATGTAACTGTCATCAATTTTAAAATGACCTTAGTTTTTTTCCTAAAATGGTTCATTTTCTTAGTTTAAACATTTGATATGTTTTCTATTTTCGATTGTTAATAAAATCTGGGTTTATGAGCTTTGCAAATGATTGCATTCTGTTTTTATGTAGATTTTACACAGCGTCCCAACTTTTTGGAATTGGGGTTGTATTATACTTTGTATATTTGTATAAAATAAATATTGTGTCTGTGAATTGTGAACTTTCTTATGCCATGAGTGTAGGGCTGCAGCTAACGATTATTTTCATAATCGATTAGTTAGCCGATTATTAAGTTCGGTTAATCGGATAAAAAAAAAAAAAAAGGCTCCAGTGATGGACTACTAGTTTCTATTGAGATTGTGGTCCATCACGGGAGCAAGCTTGGCGCGGTGGAAGTAAAAAAAGAGTGTGGTGTGCAATATAGTACATTATACAGTGGCGCAGTGCAGAATACCAGCAGCTATAGAGGAATCTAGCAATAGTACATTATACTATAATGTACTATTGCTGGGATTTGTAATCCTCTGTAGCTGGCGTTATTCAGCATTGCGCTGTATAATGATTATACGGCGAAATGCAGAATACCAGCAGCTATATAGGAATACAACAAGTACCAGCAATAGTATACCAGCAATAGTATAACATTATACTATAATGTACTATTGCAGGGATTTGTAGTCCTCTAACTGCTGGTATTCTGCATTGCGTTGTATATAATGTACTATTGCTGGGATTTGTGGTCCTCTATAGCTGGTGGTATTCTCTGTTGCGCTGTGTAAGGATTATACTGCGCAATGCAGATTACCACTGACCAGTTATAGAGGAACTACAAATCCCAGCAACAATACATTATACAGCGCAATGGAGACTACCACCAGCTATAGAGGAACAACAAATCCCAGCAATAATACATTATACAGGCTGCCTAATATATTATTGCTGGGATTTGGTGTTCCTCTATAGCTGCTGGTGTTCTGCAGTGTGTCGCTGTACAACACAATGCAGAATACCATGCACAATACAATACAATGCAGAACACCATGCACAATGCAATGCAGAATACCAATGTATAATACAGCGGTACACTGTAGAACACCAGCAGCTATAGAGGAACAACAAATCCCAGCAATATCACATTATACAGGCTGTTTAATGTATTATTGCTGGGATTTGTTGTTCCTGTATAGCTGTTTGTGTTCTACAGTGTGCCGCTTTTTTTTTTTTTTAAACAGGAAACATTAAAACAGGTCCCC